GAGGAACGAGATTGAACACACAAACCATATAAAAGTGTATCATTTCATAGCGTACACAGAATATACAATAAAAAAGTTATCTATTTACAATCAAGTAACGCAATAGGCATACATGTATTAAATTGTTAATTTTTTTTTAGCCAGTCATTAGTTTTGAGAGCTCCTAGAGCTGCTTTCTATTCATTGATGGCGATGTTATATTCAATCTTTTTTCTATCGTCTGAATCATCGATTCGTTTAAATCTATATTATTTTGATCTTCTGACTCATTGGTTTCATTGAGCGATGCAACATATTGGTCTTTGTCCTTGTTGCTGCTCTCCTCTTCTTGTTCATCATTGATATTAAAGAACTTACCATCTTTATGCTTGTAAGACGATCGACGTTCAAGGGCTGCATCATCCACCAAATCGTATACGCCCGTTCTTGCAAATTCAGCCATGGCATCTCGATGGTTTTGATTCTCAAAGTTCATTTCGAGCATTCGATAAAGTTTTTGAAGCATCGTTAGCAGTGGATATTTCGCAGGGTTTGTGGACGAAAAATAGAGACGAGAGAAGATCATTACTTTTTTCCACTCCCTGCATATTGAAATCTCCAAGATCATTTAATTGATTGAACTCAAATAGATGATTTCCAATAATGTGGATATACGGTGCTACCGTCGTTCGAAGACCGCTTGCTCGAAACACTTTTACAAATTGAATCGACAAAAATTTAAGACGATCGTTGTGTGTCTTGGAATTTGCTTTCACTTCTTGAAGAAGTTCTTTGAACTTATTCACAACCATTCGAGCAGATTGTGCCAGCTCGTCGTCAAGAACATCATCATACGGAAAAGTGTCAACGAAGAAGAGGTCCTGAAGATGACCAGACAATTTTCCGTGAGATGTTATGGTCTTGTTTTTGTTATCCACATCGACTTGGAAAAAGAACCGCTTACCAATAGTCTTTTGACAATGCTGATTTAGAATTTTAATTTTATTTTCAATAATAGCCAAATGCTCAGATCCATACTTACCAGTTCGAGAAGCGTGTGAGAGCATATCTTTCAGAATAATATCGAAAATCCTCAGCTTCATTTGAAGTGTATCTACACAGTAGTCCGTGTATTCAAAAAGATCTCTGAACAAAGGTTCATGTTTATAACCTAGAGCATTATTTTTTTCCAATATACACAATTTCTGCTCAGCAAGAGATCGAGCACGTTTGTTCAAATCATGATATGATGTTGCGCCAATGCGAGTAACTGTTGTTTTTTTTGTTTTTCCTTTTCCTTCGACGACAGTTTTATCATATGCAGTTTCTTCAGTTACATGAAGATCATTTTTGTGCTGTGTGCAAAAAACACATGAATGATTTGAACTAAAACCAGCAAGTCCAAAGACATAGACTGCATTCATCAAATCGCCACCTAGTTTAATTTGAATCGGAACATTTCTTTTTTCGATAGTGATGCATTTACCTGTTTTAATATCGTCAATAAACTCTTTTGGCAGAGCTTTGCGCAGCATTTCGGTGTTTTCTTTTTCAATTTCAAAGAGACCCAACGGCACAAGATTCTTCGATGTTTGTGACTGATGGCCTCCCTCGATACAATTTATGGAAATTGCAACGATATGCTTGTTTCCTATTAACGTACCGTCCATATTAATACGAGTGGTTAGCTTGTCGTAATTGTCGAGCATTGGTTCATAATAGCGAGCAACGAATATAGCTGTTCTCACGGCATATTCAAATTTCACAAAAGCACAGGTTGCAGCAAATTGGATAGGTAATCTTGAGTTGACATCTTTTCGAAGCCGTTCTATTTCTTTCAAAGAACAAAGACTTTGGTCACTTTGAGCGTACTTGATGATAGCATTGAAAGCAGAATCCGTAATGTGGTATGCGTCCTTGATGTACAAGAGATCCCGTTGATCTTTGATTATTTTGTTATGTCTATGCATGTTTTTGCGTGGTTCGATTGATATAGGATCTTCTACATAAGAACGCTTAATACCACGTGTATTATAGACTCGACCAACTGTGGCTTCGATTTCTTCCTCGTAAGAAGAATGAGAACTGTTTTTATCGTTGTTTTCAGTGACTTGATGAAGTAGAAGGTCTTGTTTTGTACTTACAACAACACTTAAAAAATAATGAGAATTAGACTTACTACGTTCAAATAAAATTTTCGTTTTGATCATCTTTTCCACAAACGCCATATCCAAATGAACGTTTGAAATGCAAACGCATTCAGTAATAAGACTAGAAATTTCACTGATGTCCAATGTTCTTGTTAAATTGAACGAGTATAACGCATTGTTCACGAAGACTTCGTTTATAGTTATTTCAATCGTTTTTGATGAAGGATAAAATTGAAAAATAGCGATCGCATTGTTATGTTCTTTGATAAAAAGAATTGGACTTGAACATTGATTATTTCTGTATTGCGTATATCGGATTGATTCCTGACATTGATTCAAAGAATCGATAGCGTTAAAGGTGAATCGATAAGTACTTTTCGTGCGTAAAATTCCAATAATACTGTTCCCATGAGCACGTTCACGAGCTGATTTCAAAATGTGACTTATTTGACGACTTACTTCTTGTTTCACAGTACGTATGTTCAACGAGCATTTGCGTTCAGCAAACGCATATCTGCATATGTCCGTCAAAATATATTCTATATTCATCGGCTTACTATTGGCCGAAAGAGAATATTTGAAATAATCAGCCAGATAGTCAAATGTGGCCTCAGCGATGACAACATCGTTTTCTATCGAAAACGAGATCTTCGAATTCGATACAATGGATACCGCATTTGTGTGATTGTCGATAATGCCACCGTCTTCAGCCATAATGTTATCTAATACATTTTTATCAGAAGATACGATTGATATAGTTGAGTCGTCAGTCGACTCGATAGAGTTGATAGGTAGATATATTGATAAGAATTTCGGTCGAACATCTTTTTTTTTTGATAGTAAAAGTGAAACAGAGTTTTTGCAAGCTTTGATTACGAAGCTTTCGCGTGCTCTCTGGTTTTGTTTTTCTAGAACAACAGCCACTTGTTTGGAGATTTCATCGGTAATTGGAGGTTCTTTCAACGTCTCCACACATGCGTAGTCCGATATGTCAATGACAATTTTCATCGTGTTCTTCATGGTTCGAATTACAGCTGCAAGAAAAAAACAAAAATATACTCACCCGATGTTCGAGCAGATAAGAAAATTATTTATGGTACAGTAATAATTACGAATGTACAATCAGAGCTGCAGTATCTGAAAGGTAAAACAAAACTTATGAAGATATTTCAAAATTCAAGTAAACTTAAAAACCACTCGATATAAATGGCTCAAATTTTGATCGTTATACTATTCTAATGCACAGTCATAAACGGATAAGTGATAGAGAGCATTTATTCGATAGTGTTAAGAAGAAGACTAAGAATCGATGTATATTGAACATTCAAGACACCGAAGACAGTTAGATTCACTTAATCAAGCAAAATTCATACTATGTTTGATTATAAAGTAAAGAAAAAACATCTTTCCGGTGTCTAAGTAAGAACATAATCGCTGAAAAATCGAAATGTCTTTGAGTGAGTCTTAGTATTGTCCTTGAGAACCATCCTGAACAAAAATATGCTATTTAAGCGAAGTAATATGTTTTGCTTCAAGTTTAGGCTAATTAAAATCGTGATATATTTAATCCGCCATTGTATTCAGATGAATCGTATTGAGAGAGCTAAATTAGACTAAACATGTACCATAGGCCGTGCATACTGTTCTCTTTCTGTTAGCGTATGTTTGTATCACGCGTTGCTTCACTCACACTCGCATATGCCTATTAAGTAAAAAGAAACATGCAAACAAGACTGATTTTTTATGTACTTAATTCATCGCTTTATCGGTCAAAAC